CTTCCAGGCTGTGAACCCCAGGCTTCGAGCCCCTCAGGTCCAGGGCTGTGTTAAGAAGAGGCGGGGGGGGCAGTTGGAGTTGTTGCTGGGTCGCATCTGGTGGCCCCGCAGGGTATTTCAGCACGCTGGGGCACGGTGGTGGCCTCGGCACCTCTTAGTGTTTGTATCCTGACGTACTGATTTATAGTCTGTGGTGCCCTGTGCAGTGCTTTTGTTCAGGCTTTGCACCACAGTTGATGCAGGTATAAGGTGGAAAGGTAGTGCGGTTCAACGTGGGGAGGGGAGCACAGCTCGGGCATTTGAGCACTGGGTGTGTGGAGGAGTTGAATCGTGTGTGGATCTCTTGTATATTCATTATATACACTCACGTTATTCCCACTGTGAGGGCTGGAGAATATACTGCTGGCAACTGAGGAACAAAGTGATTCAGTGATTTGCCTCAAATCACATGATACCATTAAAAAACGGATAGTTCAGAGCATTAGTGACTACTGGTCTGGGCTGCTATTAGCTGCAAAGGAGAGGATAGTAAGGGATAATAAGGCCTGGATCCTGTGTATGCTGATGTTGCCATCTCTGGGAAGCAAACGATGGTAGCCAATGTCTTGAGGATACTCAGGCCTTTAAGAAACAAGTTGATGGCTTCCTAAGGTCACTTGGAGTTCTGTCTACTTTGAGCTTTATTTTTCTTTGAATACTTCAAAACAGAAAGAAAACATTGCTGCCAGGGTTGTCCTGATTCCATGCTTTCTATTCCTCTGGCTTCAGAATGTCTGCCTTGTCTCCTTGTGCACATACTGGTACCTCTGTGCTGGTGCAGTGAGCTAGTTTGAGGAGTTGATCAAGATGAAAACTAATTTGCTGTGGGACAGAGTGACAAGATAGCTCCTGGGACTGCTTCACTATGCGATAGCCCAAGCGGCAGAGCTGACACAAGAAAGCAGGCCAGCTTCTGTGACTGTAGCAATTCCTGTTTTGATCCAGACACCTTGGAATTTCATCCCCAGCATGGACTTTAAGCTGGCATGGTTGCAGGAAGAAGCAATGCTTCCTGCCTCTCTCCTGCCCCCATGTTGCTCCCTTTCCTTGGCAGAGCTCTACAGGGTGTGTTTCAGAACTCTGGATGAAGCTGTAAGATGCTGTGGGGTTTTTTTTGCCTGAGTTATTTTTTTACCCAGGGTAGGTTAAGCTCCACTTTACCCAGTTCGGTCCACAGCAGCACAAGTGCTTGGGCACCTGTGGAGAGGGTGGTGCACAGGCAGGAATGAATACTTGTTGTTGGGAGGAGGTGGACCTCCTTCTCCTTTAACTTAGCTGGTTGATGCTGGTTCCAGGTGTTTGTCAGACTACAGCTTGTGCTGCAGGTGTACAGCATTTGACATGTGAAGCTTTTCTGCCAGATGTTTGTTTCCATTGCTGTGCTCAGTATACAATTCCCCTAGTTTTTCTATGCCGTTGTGTGTAGAGTCATGCTACAAACTGGATTGTTGAGCTGACTGTGGTTAAAAATAACTCCTTTTTATCTACTTACAGTTAAGGACAGTAAGAGACAGGAATCACAGAATTATCTTGGAAAAGACCTTAAAGATCATTGAGTCCAACCATCAACCTGGAGTAGGAGTAGGGCAAGCAGTGAAGAGGGAGTTTTGACATGCCAAAGTGACTCTAAAGCCAAAATGGGATAGTGTAACTACAGTCAGAGGAGAAGCATGAGAAACTGACATTGCTGTGCCAAAGTGCCTGAATTTTGCAGGCTAGTGAGTGGACTTAATCCCCAGGAACACCTCTTAATTTGATATGTCAATTGCTTTACAGTTGAATTGCTGTTGATTTACATAAAACAGTGTTTTAGCTAGTATACAGTACTATATAGTTCAGATGCAATGTGGGCTAACAAGTGTCTATTGTAGTGTTACGTAAGCATACACAGGAGAGAATAAAAGGTTTGATCTACATTGTCTTGTTAAAGTGAATGTTTCAAAGGGACCTCATAGGTAATTTTTAGTGTTGTTTTTTCATAATTGCATCTGTGGAGAAGCCTGTGAAAACTAAAAAGGAAGTGTCCAAGACAGGAACAAAATGAACCTACCTATAGAAAACACAGCCAATTAGCATGATGTCATTTGGTTTTCAGGTACGTGAGTCTGAGTCAGTTATACTGACACAAGCGAGAGCAGATTCAAGCACCAGCAATTTTTTCATGAGTTCAGATGATTCTTGAATGGGTTCCTGTGACATCAGTAAGCTTAACATGATTTAAAAGCCGTAACATGTTAGCTATGCAAATAGATGTGAAACATCACTTAAACGTTTTTGGCTTGTCCTTTAAGAAGTGCGTATTTCTGCAGTTCCTGTTCCTAATCTGATGTTAGCTACACTTCTGGGGTGATACATTTCCAGCATTCCCCATTAATATTTTACTGTAGCTAGACCACTTGAGGGTTTTAGAAACAGTGTGAATTCCACCTGCAGAGGTTATGTATTTCTTTTCACAGCTATCATTGCCTTTTAGTGTCACCCCATTCCAGATCCAAACTCTTTTTTAAAATTATTTTTTTTTTTGGATGTCTTGTACTTTTTTGGTGTCTCATTCTCAGCCAGTGCACACCTGCTCTACTCTATCTGCAAACAGGCCTTTCATCTTCAGTATTTTGAAGGCCATACATGAAAATTTAAAGGAGAGAAAGCGATACTGAATATTTAAAAACTCTATTTAAAAGGAAGTCTGTTTTCTGATGTGTACCTGTGCCTGTGAAAATAGCATACAGATGAGGAAGTGTTTCAGCTTGGAATCTTTCACAGATCCTAAAAAACAGCTAAATGAAAATAATTAAGTTAAAAGAAACCATCCAGAGTAGGATTAAATCTTAGCTATAAAGAGCCACACAGCACTACTGAGAACAAAACCTATATAGCAAGTTGGAATAACAAGTAGGTTTTTACAAGTACATGCTTCTGAATATGTTTTGTGGGACATTTGGGCAGGGCTTATGTAGCCGTGTGGCATTCCTTTTCAATGAGTTGGTTGTAACCAGGAGACTGTTGAAACCAGTCGTGTGTTGATGTGTGGGCAGGGCTGTAATACCTATGGTAGGATGTATGACTGGTTGAGACTGAGGGTTTCTGGCAGGGAGATATGAGGAAGCCCTTAGTGTGTCTTTGTTCTGTGAGTTACAGCTGTTGTTTTCTGATCTTCATGATCATGTTTGAGTGTCTTGCCACAAACTGTCATGGTTGTAATGAGTCAAATGCATTATTGTTTTGAATTGGTGCCTCAGTTGTAACTGTATGTGAATTCTCACACAGTTTTTTAAGGCTTATGAATGCTGATAATTATCTTACTTAAGATGGTATGATTTTTATGGCCTTGGTAGCATTTCTTTTGGTTGTCCCTGGTGTAAGGGATATTTGTCATCCATTGGTCCCTTGGAGGACTGAAGTGGAGGTTTGTGAACTGCATCCAAGAAAGAAACCCAGTATTTTCACAGTGGTGTTAGATCTATGGAAGAAACACTGTTTTCCTTCTTCCCTAGTTTTAGCCTGGGAATTTTAAGGATTACTAGACATTGCTTTTATTTCTGCCTCAGAAGATAAGGTTGGTTATTCCCACTGGTAATCAGACATTGGTGCTGGGCTTGACAGGTAAAGGTGGTGTTATCACTGTACTGTCTCTTCATTCAGATCTGTCATGAAACCATGAGGAGGGTGTCACAACTCTTTCTGTGTCACTCATTTTGTTGTTTCCTTTAGAAACCTGAATATTCAGTGTGGCCAGGATTACTATTGCCCAGGCTGGCCATTACTGCTTCCTTAATAATGTATCAGCCTAGTAGTGATACTGGAAAAGCGTCCTTCTGTATGTAAATAACAGTAGTTCCTTAATATGGGTACTTAAACTGACATAATAATCTGCTGTTGTTTCAGCCATTTATCTTGAAAATACAGTAAGAACTCAGATTAAAAGCAGTGGATCCTAATCTATAAACTGTGTCCTGCTTGCTGGACTCAGAAGTAAGGCACATGAAATGAGCTAAAGCCCAGCCAACTGCTAACCACTTAATTATGAAATGCAGGAGTTGAATTGGCTGCTTTGGAGCATAACAATGTATGAGATTGCTTTTTCTTTTTTTTTTTTTTCTTTTTTTTTTTTTCCTTCTGGAGAAGACCTCCACCTCTTCCTGGTTGAATTTGTATTAATTACATTTCCTTCCTCAGACTCTACCTCTGCTTAGACTCTTCATCCCTGGGCTGTCTTCCTTCTTTGAAATCTTGGGAATGGGCAATGGGCTTTTCTAGTGCCGTTCTTAGACCTTCAGTGAAGTAAGTCTGTTCTCTGCTCAATTTCATTATTTTTGACAGATGTGTTCTTTATCAGTTTGGTTACTATAATGCAGTAGCATCTTTGTGAAGCACTTCTGTCTTCTTGTAAGAGTCACATACACATTTTAAAATGCCTTTATCTGCAGTAGAAAAACCTGAAATTCATGATAATCTGTAATGTGTAGAAAAACAGATTTCAAATAACAAGGAAATTCTCATACCTTGGCTATAGGAGCTACTATAACAAAACACTGTGCAATTAAGTGCATTAACTTAATATAAATGAGAAAAATCATATAATGTGGTGTGAGAACTGTGCTTTGGTTGATAACGATGGAGTATGAATTGATTTCCTATGAAATGCTTTGTTCTGTATTCACTGGTAAAACCAATGAGAATTAATAAAGATTATATATTGCACTACAGTAATTAGGAAAAGCTGTTTGTGAATAGGTGAAGTCACGGAGTTTAGCTGCTTCTGTGGTTTCTTAATTTGGGTGTGGTTTAATTAAGTGTTAATACAGGAACCTTCAGGATTTTTAAAACAACTGCTTTATGTGTAACTGAGGAAATCCATTTTGTCTCTGAGCAGCCAGTAATAACAGCACCATTGCATGGTGTCATTTCTGAAACACATGGGCTGGGAATATTTCCCTGTGGTAACTGCTTACTCCAATGAAGCCTTTCTGCATCAGCTAGTTAGTGCTCCTCAGTCCACAGGGCTTTAGAGTCCTCTCTGGCCCAGCTGGTGTTATACGCAGTTTCAAACTGTGAAATTTACCTGGAATGTCTGGCTTCCTAACTTAGGAATCCAGGATCAAATTTTGATTCAGCTGAAGGGAAGGAAGGAAGTGGCTGGCATTCTAACACTAGCAAAAATAAGCACGAATAAGTGGGAAAATAATAAGTAGGTAAAAAGATTATTTGTGATTAAATCAAAGTGATGTATTTTGGAATTGCCAGCGAGAATTTTGAAGTTCTCACATATCCTATTTGCATGACATCATCTGGTGTTCATGCAACTTTTTCAGAATGTGTGACTTTTGGACCACACCTCGAAACCTGGGAAAATCTTGAATATTGTCATTCATGTGTTGTAGTTGCCGTTTGTTGTCTTGAAACATTTTACTGCAGGTGCTACAAGAGACTGTATCTTCACCTGTGTGAATGCTTGTCCTGGTGCAGCTAATGATGAGCAATTTTGACCATGTTGATTTAAACATTTGTCAACAAAGCACAACATTTTCAATGTGTTGTTACACACCATAAATGTGTCACCTCCTTGGAGGAATCCTAACTTCATTTGGAAAGTGTTGAACCCCACTGTCAAGGTTCAGTGTTACTGCACATGTACAATTGAATAGTAACTGCTACCATAGGTTTGAGTTTGGAGGCTTTGCAGTGCAGCTTTTGTTTGCTGGCTGAGAACCTGATTTAAAAATTAAATGCAAGAGACAAGGGAAAGGACACAGTTATTAATAGCATTGAAAAAGCAATGGGCTAACTCAGTCTCCTGGTTTTGTCAGGTGTTTTTCTTACCTGGCCCGTATGGTTTGAAAAGGACAATGGTCAGGAAATGCTTGTCGCAAGATAGTGTGTGTTCCACACCCAGAGGCCAAGAGAAAGCCCTTTTCTGCTGCTCGTTACGTGTATTTATTCTGGTAATGATTTACTCTTGGCAAAGTATTGCTCTTCATAACTTAGCAAATATAAAGGACTAATCTCGACAACTCACAAAGATAATGGGGAGTAGCTGGATTTGACTACAAAGTTCTATATGTTTTCAAGTTCTAAAGTCTGAAGATGGTGCTCCTAAGTGAGTCCCCCTTTGGTTCCCCACCTGGTTGGTTAAACCATCTGGGCTTTCCATTACACTTAACAGTTTCTGCTGCTGAGACAAAGTTTGGAAAGCGGCATTGGTGGAGATGTGGTTATCATTATAGATCTTCTTACTCTGTCTTCCTGAGTTTTTATTTATGTATTTCAACTTCTTTCTTTCCACTGCCTCCTCCTTTCTGACTTCATTGTGATGTTTTTCTTTTTCTTCCTAATCTTCCCCACTTTGCCTGTGTACACAGGATGGAGTTCAAGATCTCCCGCAGTGGAGGAGGAAGCTGCTCTCCCCTGTGGTGCTAAAAGGAGTTAATCTAAAAGAGGCTTCCCAGCATGTCCATGCAACAGCATGTTGGTGATAAACAGGCTGCTGATCTGGTGTGGGCAAAGTTTGTCTCCCTACTAGTAAGGTAGGAGAGTGAGAATTTTAAATTCTGCAGGTTGGCTTGGTGCTGAACTACTTATCCTTGCATTTTGCTGTTTAAATACGTGATGCACTTTGCCTCTTTGCTTTCCAGCTGCCTTACAAGCACTGAAGAGAAAAAAGAGATATGAGAAACAGTTGAGTCAAATTGATGGGACACTTTCAACTATTGAGTTCCAGAGAGAGGCACTGGAAAATTCCCACACCAACACAGAAGTACTCAAGAATATGGGTTATGCTGCACAAGCTATGAAAAAAGTGCATGAAAATATGTAAGTGCTTTCTATCAGTGCTGTCAAGCACTTACTAACCACTTTCAAAGGATTTCATCACTACAGCCTATTGTATCAAGTCAGGCAGTTTTAACTTCATTTTGGAGTTAAGCATTTAATATCAGGAATGCTACAGGGGCTGTAACGTTGTGTTTGGCAGAAAAGTATCTTTTCTTAGCAGCAAGTCTTGAAGAAAGTCCAGCTAACTAGAGGGATTTGTGTGGTACCTATTTTTTTTTAAAGTCTGCTTTTGCAGTAGAGACTGGCCTCTGGCCATGTTTTTTCCAAAATAAAACTTAGTTGAAGAAACTAAGTGGACTCTTTTCCTCAAAATCTGTAAGCTGGACTCTGTGATTCAAAGTATTAATTGTACCTGAATAAAAGAGAGCAGGGTTTTTGTGTGTGTGCATGTAGTATTTGTGTAAGTCCTGTATTGTTTCATGAGGCATTTTCCTGCCTGAATAAACCAAGTTAAATCAGAAAGGTTGTTCTTGGAGAAGGAAACAGGAACTGAAACAATAGTGAAGTTAACAATAAAGGGAAGCTTTTGAATGGAGTATAGTCCTGTTAAGTTCCCCCAGTTCTGGTGAAAGCTTCACATCAAAAAAGATCCATCTATAAAGATGCTGACCTTGGGAAAGAGATGGGATCTGCCCAGGGAATGTGACTGTTTGTTGGCAGAGGTACGAAGGAAGAGCAGAGTGGCACAGGCGACTGCAGTTTGACTTTTATTATAATCCCAAGTAGAAGCAATTGGACTGGCTAAAACACACAGAAGCTGGCCAGGAAACATTCAGGTGTATGTGAGGGAAATAATTCACTGTGAGTTCTGCTGTTTATACAGCCATGGGCATAAAAAGAAGATGGGGTCTGTTCCAGTTTCTTTGAATCACTGATGTAGGATTTGAATTAAGTATCTTTTAAAAATGTTTCCATGTTATCTTGCCAGGGACTTGAACAAAATTGATGATTTGATGCAAGATATCACTGAACAGCAAGATGTTGCCCAGGAAATTTCAGATGCCATCTCAAACCGAGCTGGCTTTGCTGATGAATTTGATGAGGTTAGTACTTCAGTGAAGCCTTTGAATTTTAGCTGTTAAATGACTCCATAATTATTTTGTTGTGTGGTGGCTTGTTCCAGTGTGGGTTTTTTCTCTCAAATGTGTGGATTTGAAATTCCTTGGTTCTAGCTTATCCTATCCAGGACATTTTTACAGTTTTTATATGTGTGTATATATGCACACACACACATATAATAAAGAAAATTTAACAATACAAAATGCATAATATTATAAAAATCTGTAATGTAAAAAAATAAAATATTTATATTTGTATATGTATTTTTAAAGGCAGTTTTAACTGAACTCCTGTAGTTGTTATTCTCATTTATACTGTGGAGGGAGGAGGTCACTAAAACATGTCATTTGTGCTGCTTGAGGTGGACACTGAAACATATAATTTTTTGTGCTCCAAATAGACATCCGTTTGACTAAGTGCATGTTCTTATGCCAGGAGCAGGCTGCTGTTCACAATTCTGAATATTTGGATCATTTTTAAAGGTATTTTTGGTGCTTGGAGGTGCAGGTCCTTTCCCTGTTTTCCAGATTTTCTACAGAAGTAAATCCATTAGGTAGAAGGTAGTTCCTGTTGGAGACAATAAAGTTTCTTCCTTGAACTCTCTTCTTTTTAAACCCCCACGAGGCACTTAGGACTTCTGAAAATCCATTGCAGTAGCTTTCATCCAGTGTCCCTGGACTTGATTTTGTATATCTAAGCAGGACATTACTTAATTCTGATCCAACCGTGGCTGAGATCTTCAGTATACTTGACCAAGCACTAGGAATCATTTGAGGAATGTCCTGAAGAATCAAACAATTCGCTCTCTCCCCAGTTAATTCATTTCTATGTGCCCAAAAGGACAACAAAGATAAATACATATGCTATATCATATTTTCTTGAGTGGGAGAGTGGAACTTCCATTCAGCAATTATAATTTTTTTATGATAGTAGTGATTCTCTGTAGTTCATTCCCATTATCTGCTTTCCTGTTTAATGACTTTGAATGTAAACAGATGTTTCAAGAAACATTTTATCAATACAGGCCTTAAGGAATGGGTTTTGGCCTGTATAAACTGGGCTTCAAACAACTGAAAAATGTACCGCCATCCTGAACAGCTATGCAGTGTCACTAACCCCATCAGCTCTTAACTCTGAAGAGTTTGGACTTAGTAAGCATGTTGTAGATTGACCTGGAAGTTCCAAAGAGATGCTAGTCTTAAGTTGATGGATGTGCTTTCAGTTCTGGGAAAGTAAGGCACTGTCACATGGGGCATCATTGTACCAACACCTGCTCTTGCATAGGAGCCTAATAGTTACAGCAGTTGTCCACTTATTAGGAAGCCTGCTTTGCAGGCAACTTCAGCTCAAGAATGCTAAAATCAATTACTTGCTGGGTTATGAGGTGATTTGTGTTGGAAGATGATATTTAGTATTTTTTTAAAGGACATTTTGGCCACACATTTGGATTTCCTCTTTGTGTGCATGCCACAAGTATAAGGAGATTGTGAAAGCAATTTCTAGTGCTCAAGATACACACAAAATGTAAGAGTTCTATCTTCCTGGTTTCACACAGCATATGTCATGAAACTTCTTTACTGTGAGAATAACACTGGAACAGGCTGCCCGGAGAAGTTGTGGAGTCTTGTTCTTTGGAGACTTTCCAAACTCATCTGGACATGTTCCTGTGTGATCTACTGTACGTGATCCTGCTCTTGCAGAGGGGTTGGACTAGATGTTCTTCAGAGGCCCCTTCCAACCCTGAAGACTCTATGACTCCATGAAGTATGCCAAAAAGCTGTGTCCTAGCTGAGTAGGATGTTCAGTGGGAGGAGTGATCCTTGCCTGGAGGACTCTGATAATCAAATGCAAAATATACACATTGCAGTGGACAAAGCCTAGCACCTCAGAGTTCACATGTTATCTTCCCTCTGCTTTCTTTTTGACCTTGGTTCAAGAAGAGAAAGGAGATTTGCTTTTGCTATTGCAATACTCCACAGCATAGTTGTAGAGCAATTCCTGAGTTGTGGGAAACATAGATTTAACTTATGCTTGAGGACTGTAAGAACTTAAAACCTGGCTCTCCCACTTTGGGAACAAACATCCTGGCCATTATATTATAAAGTTATGTTTAAAGTGTAGGGGTCATGATTGCCATTTCCTTATCTTTTTTTTTTTTTTTTTTTTTTTTTTTTTAAGAGCCTCATGTCGTAATTGTTTACTCTGTCAGCAAAGGTTGGTAAGGACTAATTTGGTGTTGGAGACCATTAGATGACCATCTAGAGAGAGTTCCTCAGAAATATGTTTTCATTGATTTTACAGCAACTCTGATACTAACTTTGTAAGAAGCTTGTAGTCACACCATTGACTGACTCACTTAAAGTACAAACACACTTGCATCTCAGCTAAATAAGTTAGACATGGAGCCCCAAGGTGCACATTTATTTGAGGTATCAGCTGTCAACTGAACACTATCAGGTGTAGACCTGATGCTGAACTTCTTTTATTATATTGTAGGATTTGCCCTATGAGCTCAGTCAGGTGGGCAAATGTCAAAAAAAAGGCTAAATACATGAGAAAGTAAGTCTAGGTATGCCTATGGTGACTAGTCATTATAATTTGAACTTCCATGTTGATGATAAGCAAGGTAAAATGGGTAGGCAAAGCCCATTGCAGTAGCCAATAGATCTCCCTTTGATACAGAAGCTTTTCCCACAGCTAATTTTACCCACTCTTTCTTTATAAACCATTTAATGAATATGACAAAGGCACATTTATCTACAAATATGTAATATTTAGCTTCCTTTCTTTAGGAAACTCCAGCCAAGGAAGTCTCTGGCTTTTTTAAAAAGTGTGTAGCCTTTTTATTTTTAGTATTATAGAAGTGGGTTGGATCATCTGTCTAAATCAACTTCTGCACCTAAAATCCCAAGAGTGTTATGACTTCAGGAGTGAATAACAGGACCCAGGAGGACAGCTCTGCTGCTCCTTTAAAATAATAAACAATCCTCAACTTGTGTGATAGGGCTGAAGCACAATGACTAATGACAGTCTACCTTATAACCAGTGGAAGCTGGTTGCTTTTTAAAATGGAAGAAATCAAACATTAAAAATAGAATCTGTTAAAAAGTACAGGCTCTAGATCTGGAAGAAACCTGAGGAAGGCAGAGGGGCCTTCTTTGTTTTCTTCTCCTCTGCCTTTTTGTTGAGTACTACACTGCCAGCAGTTTTTTTTCTAATTTTGTTCCTTGTCCTGTTTCTAGCTTCCTTTTGCCTTCCTACAAGATTCAATTAAGGTGTATGTTATCACCTACACTTAGTGAAAATTATATTTGTGATTTTGTGTTTTGATATCTGTTTTTGAGTGTAAACAGGTTTTTCTGTAGTGCTTTTCTTTATGGTGGTTAAATGTGCCCTTGCCTGAGATAACTGTCAGGACAATGAATATGTAAATACAATTTTCCTTTAATTTAGGATGAGTTGATGGCAGAATTGGAAGAACTGGAGCAAGAAGAATTGAACAAAGGGATGAGAGATGTCAGGTTGCCAAGTGTTCCGTCCACATCGCTGCCTTCTCACCCTGGTAAATTGCCTGCTTGCCATTTTACATTTCTCATTACTAAGCCATGCTGTGAGGAGAGGAAGACAGACTTTCAGATACGTATTTAACTCTATTTTAACTTTTAAAGTATTATAGATTCCTTTTTCTATATTTGTATCTGTTTATCAGAAAAAGCAGGGCAGGGGTTCTGTTTAGCTGTGTGAAGCATTTAGGACCAAATTCTCTGTAGATTTCGGGAGCTTGACCTGGCATGTGTACTGATGTATATCCTACTGAAATGTAATGACATCACTGAGGACTGGGAAGACTTTTTTTTCATTTTGGCAATTAAATCCTTAGTCTTTTTAATTAGAGTCTGACCTAGATTCAAAATGTTTGTGTCACAAAGATCCAGCTTTGTAGGGTAGTGGTTTGATATTTGCCGCTGGTATTTTAATTAGAAATGAAGGAGGCAGCAGGTAGTACACTTTTAAAGAAATACTGTCATTCTTTTGCTTTGTTTTTTGCAGAACAAACTCATTCCTGGCATTAAGTAGTGTTCTTATTTTCCTGTAGTTCTACTCTGTTCATTCTAATTAAGCCAGAAACAGTCAACTTTTAACTGTACCTTTCACTGTGTCTCTGTTGACTTGTATCATCTGAAAGACTTGCTGTGTACTGATGCTGGTAAAAGAGTATAAATACTCGATGACAAGGACAGCACACATGTCACAGGTTGTTTATGGTGCATTCTGCTGCAGGACACGTTACCTAGACAAGTGCAGCTCAAAGACTCTTGGGTGTGTTTTGGCAGACAGTGCTTAGATCCCTGAGAACGAGTTTGAAATGTTCAAACTGGGATTGTGGCTTCATCTGCATAAGTAAATTGTAGAACAGCTAGTGAAAACTGGGTTTAGGAAAACTCAGTGCAAATTACAACATAGGCATTTATGGCTTGTTCATACATCCTCTTCCAAATCCAGCTGTGCCAGTTGACATTTTTATTAAACCCAGGCCATCTCCACGTACTTCTCACGATCTTCATTTGCTACATCATCTGTCTTTGTGGCTGCTTCTGGCAAAATTAGCTGGTTACACCTATATACTTTGAGGCCTTGCAAAACCAGTTTATTTTTTCTTAAACTGGATGCTTACTGTTACACAGCAATGGCAGAATAAGAATAGTTAATGGTTTTCTAATGCTTCTAGTTGGAGATGCATGTTACCCTCCCAATTTTAGAGATGAGGAAACTGAGATGGAGCAATGCGTAGTGGCCTTCTCCAGTTGCAAAAGTGATCCAGTGGTGCTTGCATCAAGAGTAGGGACTGGACCCCTGCTATCTCATGTCTTTTTCCCACCTTTACTCCTCAAAGGTGGTAGTTGCAGCCCATCCCAAGATGATGGCTTCTAACTGTATAGCTGTCACAGGTGGGAGCCAACTGGCTGCAGTAAAGGTACACACCCAGTAACTGTGTTCCACTGATGTTTGAAGTTATGCAAATCCTGATATACACAGCCCATAGATGGAGACAGCCTAAGGCTGAACCTGGGCTCTAGCGCATGTGGTGTTTAGGTCAGTTAATGAAGACTGTTTAGTGAGGTTTCGGTTCAGGGAATGCAAAAGATGTGTGATAGCAGATTTGGGTAAAAAAAAAAAAAAAAAGAGAAAGTGTGTGTGGAACCTGGTACAGAGCTGAGAATTCCTGTTGCTGGTCAGGAATGTCTTTCTCACTTTTAATAAATTACACCTCTCATTAAAACGAGGTGAGTCTATTTGGAAACTGGACCTGGACATGCAGAACCCTTCAGCACTATTTGGAAAGGTAGCAGGTTGCACAGCCAGCCAGGGGTAAGTGAGGCACTGAAACAGGCTGCCCAGGGAGGTGGTGGAGGAACTGTCCCTGGAGGTGTTAAAAAAACAGGTAGACATGGTGTTTCATGAGATGGTTTGGTGATTAGTGCTTGTAGGATGGACAGTTGGACACGATGATCGTTAAGGTCTTTTCCAACTATGATGACTGTAAGATTCCAAGTTCTTGTGCCTGCTCAAGAGACTGTGAGAGAACTGGCAGCATTCTTGTGTGTGCTTGTCTGTGACAACTTTTGGAGATCAAATATATTTTCTGTGGGAGTCTACAGACAGTAGGAGTTACACCATAGCATACTGTTAACCTCAGGTTTATATGTGAGATAACAGTCGGGCAAAGTAGTCGCATCTCTCATCAGCTTTATTACTGCATTACCTGTGTTTAGCTTGCTACTTAGTAAATTGCCCTGGGATCTTCAAACTCAAAAGCACTATGCAAGTCTTCGTGCTAACAAATAAAATGGTTCTGCCTGGTTATGTTAGTTGATGGTTATTGTTAATCTCTTTTTCTGCAGCATCGACCAGGAAGAGAGCGGAGGATGAAGATGAAATGAAGCAGCTAGCTGCCTGGGCTTCATAAGAGCATGGTCTTTTTATAGCACTGGACATTGTAATGTAGATGTAAAGAGCTGTTTTATAACTGTACCAATTTAGTGTGGTTGTATTTCACACAGACTGAGATTTTTCTATGGCAGATCTTGCTAAGAATAAGTAGTGTTACTGCCCTATTACAAAACTAGTTTTTAAAACAAACTAAAAATACAACAGTTGTCCAAACCTCCAAGAATCAAAGCTTTTTCCAGCCTTGGCCACAGATTTGTTTTGTTATTAATATTGGTTTTTATTAGGTAATGTCTTACTTTATGTGGCTGGTTTTTAAAACCTGTGTGCCTCACTTATGCAAACAGCTGGATTAATTGTTGAAATGAAAAAGTTAAATGATCAAATCTGTATTCTAGAAGGATATTTGGTTCAGACTATTTGAATATTAGGAAAACAGCTTTAGATGTGTCCTGACTTGCAAGTTGCTTGGAGCCCAAGAGCTAATAGCAATTCATTTGGGCCTGGAGATTTAAACAGTCTGCCTGGAGCAACTTGTAGTGTCCTAGATACCAAGAGGAGACTCTTCTATACATTTTTTGAAGTGGGTAAGTTTTTCTGTTTAAACTTTGGCCGGAATATCCCTTGCACTTCCATAGGTCAGCTTAAATAATATTTTGAACTATTTCCAACTCAGTTAAAGAACAGTTTTACAGTGACTGAGGGAAATGGAATGTCCAAGTTTTTATAGACCCCTGCCAAACAAAACTGGTTTCTGTTAACCCTGTCAAAAATCTGGAAGAGATTTGACCTTCCTGTGTTCTTCTCCTCCACTGTGTCTTTCTAGGGTGAATATTTACGTTATGTGATTATACCCATCCTCAAAGAGATTGGTAATACATTTTTTAGTTTCTGAGCATTAGTTCTTTATGCTTACTTAGTATCTGAACAGGAAAAGTATCAGCATGTTGTATTTGAAATTATTTTAACCCTGGTTAAAGGCTGATTCTGATTTACTTATAAAATTTATGTGTTATTGTCTAACTGCCAGGTTTTTGACTTAAGGAACAAATGCCACTCTGGGTGCTAAACTACTACATATATAGAGAAATCACTGTTCAAATATAAACCAAAAATTAAATAGGTTGCTTTGTTCTAACACACTTTTTATTAAATAAAGACTTAAGCTCTATGCTTGTAGTCTGCTGTCAAGCACAAGGAAATAGTATAACACTGTAGAGTTTCTAGGGTTGTGGGAAGCAGAATTGCATTGATCTAGGTTTCTTGTTATCAAATTAATTTAAATTCCTAACGATTGAAGCACTTGATGAACAGTGGGAGACTTGGTTTCTGTACATCTGCAGCAGCAGAAGACTGACCCCTTTTCTTGTGGGCTTTAGATTGTGATTTTGCTGGGTGTTTAGCTTTGATAGGCTACAGTTGGCTTCAACTTACTGGATTTAAGGTTAAGCATAAGCTAATGTGTGGTTCTGGATATGATGTACACAGAGTGTCATGGATGAATCTCAAAATTCACAAACCCTGTGAAGATAGTAAATTTTTAAGGACTTTTTCATTCTCAGAAGTGGAATTGGTTTTGGTTTGCATCCATATGAAAGGAGAGTCTTGCCACTTTGTGTAAATTTTCTCCTGGAAAAGTTAAGTGTGTTAATTCTGTCCCAGAGCATGAAGGTATTAGGAAAATTGTCCCTTTCTCTTGAGAGTAAAGAAAACCTGAAACTAGTCAAGTTTTATTTAAGAAACTTTTTTTTTTAAACAAAATTTTGACATCTGCCTTAAATTTAAAAATACATTTTGAACTCTCAGTAGGAAACCAAACACTAACAGAATGTTCCTCTGGTTTAGCCCTTGCTGAAATTCAGGATGAGATGCCAGCTGAAAGCAGGCTAATTTAATAAAACAACAAATATTTGGAGTAATGTAGGATTCATTTGCTAATCGTTTAGGCAGGAATCCTGTTTTCAAAGTATGCAGTTTATGCAATTCTCTGAATTGGGTACAGAAGGTGTTAAGTGTATACTGATTGAATCATTGTGTGAGGCTGGCTGTGTGCTTGTGGGCACTTCTGCTATTTCTAAATGTGAGGCAATGCCAACATAGTCCCGTGCTTAGCTTGGAAAAGCTGGCTTCTGGCATTTGTTCTTGATTGAAGTTTTCCAATACTTGGCACTCACATAGGACTTAGGATATTTAAAATGCTCTATAACCTAACCAAATAGGTCTCTAAGCTTCCAGTTTGAAAATAAATTGATTTTTAGTCTGCTTTGGAAAATCTGGACCTGCTGGCTTTGTGCAAAAACTTTCCATGCCTGCATGGAGGAAGAAACCCCAGTGAAGGTCTTTTCCTTTGCAAGCTAGCATCTGACTGCTGACCTCCAGCAATGTTTTGTCCAAGTGTTGATCCCAGGAAACCTCAAGTGTCTTCAGGTTATTGATTTCACACCAGGCACCTTAGGAACCAAATTTGTGAAGGGTGAAGGAAAGAAACTGCTAATTTGGGTAAGTGTCTCTAAAAGTTTGTGTGTAGTAGCTGGTAATTCTGGAGGACAGAGTCACAAACCAGTTCACAGGCTAGAACGAGTGGTTGGTGAAGCTGTACTCCGAGATACCATCGTCATGTACACAATCCAAAATAGTCTGCATCTCCCAGACTGGAGTGCTTGTTGCTGTATTTGTTTGCAAGATAGTAGACCACTGGTTTTCTGCAAAAGCACAGAATTTCTAGGGATTCAATTCAGCTGAGGAGGTGGCTCTTCTGGGCACGAATTCACATGACATTGGGACAAATGGCTCTTCCTTTTTTAAACATAAGTTTCTCTTTGTGCCAAAATAGTATTTGTTTAGTATGTAAGCAGACAAGAGTCAATAGTATCAACATGTCATTGTAAATGTACTCTCTATTAACTGGACCATATTTTACAGGATGACTGTGGCAGCAGGTGGTGTACTATAGCGACCTTTCTTTCTTGTTTCCTATTTATTTTGAGTGTTTTCTTCTCTTAACAGGCCTGGACATGTTTAATCTGGATAGCTTTAAACAGGGAAAAATATATTAATAAAATTTGAAAAGAGTTAATATATATATATACACACTGTAAATAAATATTCTGGTGTCTCATCTTTGTTGTATAATTGTATTAAATTTATTTTCCAGTTGGCCAAAACTCTTAAGTACTCTTCTTACACTATCATTAGGATACAGTGCTCTTTACAGGATGGAAGGATGTTTTTAAACATAATTTATGTACTAATCTTCCAGCAACAGGTTAGAATTCAAGAATTCCTCAAAGGTGATTTTATTAAAAAAAACCAATTAGCCAAGCAACCAAAATCCCCAAGTATACTGTGATGTTTGGCCTACAGTCTTTCACACTTATCATTTGTCTTGCCATGGATTTTTTTTTTTTATTTTGATGGGTCCAAATTACCATCTTCCAAGGCCCTCAAAGATCTCTTAATTGCTTAGAAATGTGTGTATTTCACTTTCTAGGACTTAGTTGATAGGAAGAATGGTCAGGTCTTTTTGACATGAAAAAGAAAACTTACTATAGGTAAAGATGAATTGAAACAAATAAAATAGTGAGATTTTTTTCATGCATTGTATTAGACTCTCTTTAAAGTGTGTTTATAGTATCACATTTTATGCACACACATACACATATTTACACCTATGTGTAAAGTGTTGGAGCAGTGATTAAAGACCTTCATTGATAATCTAGTGTGGAAAGGGTTTACTTGCTCAGGCAGCTCATCTTTGCTGCTTTGTAAAGCCCAAAGGCTTCATCACAAAATGGCAAGGAACTGTTCCATACACACATGTGCGTGCTGTGTGTACAGTTGGGGGGGGGTGGAAGAGCAGGATGGGCATGTGTGGAAAATATTTCCAATTAGAAGTTTTTCATGATGCAGAGCTTACATTAGTTTAATGATCTCATTTTTGAAGAAACATGAGGAGGAAGCTTTTGTCGCAAAAATTACTTAATAACAGGGACTAGCTTGAACATCTTAGGAAATGGCAAATATCCTAAGTCTAATCTTATCTAGCTGTCATACTTTCTCATGTCTGTCCCCGTTGCAGAGACCATTGCAAGACCCACCACTGAAGAGCTGCTCAGCCAAATGTATAT